ACATCCTGTCTTCACTGACGTCAAGTGAACACTGAGGATATGTTGTTATGAACTGGGACTTGTTCAGTTTGCCCAATCACTAATTCGTTCATACATATATATAATTTATCTTAACCTTCCTGGAAGACGCCAGCAAACAGTGCATGACCCCCTTCGGATTTAACGCTTCTTTCTCAAGAGTAATAATAATAATAATAATAATAATAATAATAATAATAATAATATGCATTCACAACACGCAAAAGAAACAGTACGGAGAGCAGCATAGGTCACTAATGTAGTTAACTATCAGCGCTGAAGAACTGAAGTCAATCAGAAGAGACATTCACAAGTTATCATGTGTAAACCAAATTCCACTTCCTGGTAATTGACAATTACACGCCCAAAACCAATTCGAGTCTTTAACGAAGCATGGCACACCAACATTCAAAATCTGAAGCCAATCGGAAGAGACATTCTCTAGTTATCGTACAAAGATTAACATTCCAAAATACGCCAGTACTTTAAGTTGGAAACCGCTCATGGGTTGCATTCTCAAGCAATCAGCGTTGAAGGTCTGACGTCAACCCCGGTAATGCATCCTCAAATCGTATGAACATCAATTTAAAATTTCTCTGATTTTCTTAATAAGATGATCGCACTGGCAGCTTACACAGTATATATATATATATATATATTAACTATATACATATATATGTCGTGCCGAATAGGCAGAACTTGCGATCTTGGCTTAAATAGCAACACTCATCTTGCCATATAGGACAAGTGAAAATTTGTGTATGCAATAATTTCGCCAAAATCATTCTGAACCTAACGGAAAAAATATATTTGATTGTGTTTGTTTAGTATTAAATTATTGTAAACATATTTAAAATATATTTAGTTGGGTTAGGCTAAAATAAATTGCTCTTGTTATAATAAGGTTAGGTAAGTTTTCTAAGATTCTTTTGGTGCAAAATTATAAATTTTTATATTAACATTAATGAAAAAAAATATATCTTTAAACGTATAAGAGAAAATTTCAGAAAAGACTTAATTTTAAATGAGTTCTTGCTAAATGACCAGTTTTACATATTCGGCACGACATATATATATATATATATATAATATATATATATATATATATATATATATATATATATATATATATATATATATATATATATATAGCGAGAGAGAGAGAGAGAGAGAGACACCACCTCTAGAACTGTACTGGGGACCCTCATCCTCAGAGAAAAGAATAAACTTGCTTCAGGGAAAGCTCAAGGTTCTCCCTGAAGCTGTTTTAGAATTTTCTTCTACCACCCCTTATATTTAATGTATATTTTATTTAAAGACAAAATACATTGACAAAACATTCACAAAAATACAATAGAAAGTAAAACAACATAGATAACAACTCAGAGCTGCATCTCGAATACTTCGTCCAGCTCCCCGGCGGTGGGCCGCGTGCCCAGAATGCTGCAGGCATTTCCTCTCTGGATCGCAATACTGAGTCTCTGAAAGAGGAAACTGGTAGCTCTGTGATCCTTGGTTTCTATGATGAGCTTTTCACCCAGCTCTTTGAGGAACTTTAGAGCACACTTGCTCCATGCTCCAAGGGTCTCCATCCTTATTGGGATGAAGTTATAGCAAGGGGAAAGGCCTTCATATTTGCGGATCTTCTTAGTCTCCCTGTGGCTGGCAGCTCCACCTCCTTCCACTACTGAGTATGGCAAGTAGGTGTCTGCCAATGTGGCGGCACAGGTGTAGTCTCAGGCTATCTGCTTTCCATCCTTCCAGGGTAGCACAGTGGCTCCATCAGGACGCTTTTGACTTCCGTCAGACCTCTGCAGTTGGGGTTCCCGCTGAGATGAGCAACGGGCTGTAGCGAGGCTTCTCTTTATGATGTCATTGACCTCCTCATGTCTGGCATATTTTCCTTCTGCTGTATGACACACGAGACCTTGAAGTTCGAATTGATCAGCTGTCGCCCTGCCGCAAATACACCTATGTTCGGTGAGGATGGGGGCGGCTAGGCGAAGAGCAACACCAATCCGAATGGCCTGTGGGTCGATTCGGGTGCCCAGTGAGGAATTGGGAACAGCTAAAAGGAAATCTCCTGAGTGTGGTGCCGTCACTGCCAGGATACGAGCTTTGTCTTTTCCTGAAGCGTTGGAGAGCATTGTGTTGGCGATTTTTTCCATGATATGCTTGTCCCAGTGGGACTGTTCGTGCTCTTTGGAAGGAGCTGGTCTACTGGAGGAGTCTGCAAGGGTGTCCCACCGAATCGCTGCTTCAGTAAACCTGGGGTCTTGAGCTCCTACCATGTCTCTTAAGCGTTCAGGGACAATCTTCTTGACTAATGCACTGGAAGCCAAACACGAAAACAGAAAAGCAGGTAAAGCTACCTGCGTTGCTTTGCTCACCCCAATACCTTCCATTCACACTGGGAGGGTTGCCTGATCCCATTGCTAATCCTCTAGTGACAGGTTCAGTGCCTTCTTAAAGGTTGATCTCAGGTGTGCATCATATTCGTTGAGTGCTGGGTTGTCAAAAGAGAATGCATACCTCAGGAAGTAAGTGAGTCTTGGCATAGTAAGACACCTTGTGAGGAGATACAGAGCATCATGGGCATCAAGATCGCTTATTCTCTCCTCCATTCTCATCAGGTCATTCAATTTGTCCTTGAGGACAGTGTCGATGGCCTGGTGACCCAGCGGTGCTTCCAAGAGGGTATTACTGGACAGAGTGGTAGTAGAGACTTCTGGGAGGATTCTTCGCACGACATTGATTAGTCCCTGGTTCACTGTGATAATTTCACAGTTGTAGGTTCTCTAACAGGGACTCCTCAGTACCTGTCAGAGTGCCATCATCCAGGTACCAGATGTTGAGCTCGCTGCGCAGGCTGGAAGTTAGTTCTGTTACTGCCAAGCAGAAGAGAAGTGAAGCGAGTGGGTCACCCTGCTGAACACCCTGATGAGAGAATTTTATGTTCTCCAAACAAAAGAATTGAGGGTTTGCTGTAGCCGGATGAAATGAAGGGAAAAAGACTGGGGAACCGATTCCGAACAGCTTTCAAGACAACATCTCTCCTCGCCATATTAAAGGCATTTCTAAAATCAAATTTGACTACGGCCTTGTCTTTTGGTAGGTCCCTGATGCAGGTCCTTGCCGCATGAGCTGCGGCTTCACTGCCTTGAAAGACCCCGAAGCCCAGTTGTTGTGACTGGAGTAAACTGGCAGCTTCTAGGCGAATGTTTCTTACTGCTGCTTTGGGAGCGAGACGGCGAAGATTGTTACCAACATCAATGGGTCTGATTCCCCCATCCTTTTTCTTCAAAGCACATAGTGAGGCTCCAAAAAAGAAAGGTTTAATTTCTTCTGAGATTCGCCCATCCAGGCAGTTGTTGACGAAGGTTGTTAACTCGGTGAGAAGAATTGATTCAGATGCACCGAGTCCTGGATTTACCATCTCTTTGAGGTGCTGAGGTCAAATTCCAGTGTAACCTCCTGCAGATCCTGCTGGAAATGACACAATCGCCTTGTAGACTTCTGATTATGGCAAAATTAACTGTTCAGTGATGGGTCTTCCTCAGGGTTGTTGTTGATGGCTATGGTGTCCCTGGATGGATGCTTGTCTCTTAGTGCTTGGGCTGTGATCTCATCTTTGTGAGCTACAGTGTCGTCACTTGTTATTATTCTGATTGCTCCCACTGTGTTACCTTCTTCGATTTTTTTTGCTAACCTGTGAGCAAATTTTCTTGTTTTCAGTGAAACTTTTCTTGGGAATACCTCTGTGATTCCTGCGATGATGGGGCAGAGGGACACACTTATCCCTTCTTGGGTAGTTTCGCACTGCCTTGATAACTGATGTGGTTAGCAGTTTGCCTCGTCTTTCAGGAACTGCAAGACAGACATTGCCGAACAGGAGAAGGTTTCGCTATTCTTGGATGGTGCCTCGGGCTTCTAAGTTGGTGGAACCTCCATTCACCTGCTTAAGAAGGTCTGTGAATTTCCCAATTGCACATGGGCGAGCCGCTTTAGGGATGTGGGATAGGGTACTGCTAGCTTGCTAGTTGGACTCCAAGGTATTGGTCCAGTGTGAGTAGATTGGTAAAGCACTGCGTACCTTGTTCCAAGGTTCGTAGGTTCGAGTTTCCTTCAGCCAGAGATCAGTGTTTGTGTATATTTCGCCTGCTCTTGCGAATTCCTTGCATATATATATATATATATATATATATATATATATATATATATATATATATATATATATATATATATATATATATATATATATATTTCTGGCAGAATTTGTCATACAGGCTAAACTACCATGAAAATTTATTATTATATAAAAATTCTCAAATGAATTGATGGATATATTTTGTGAATTAATTTGGCTTACAAATTTTTACTTTTGAACTAAATCTACCTTAATAGCCTAATGATATTAAGTAATGTAATATAATCTAGAATTTTTCGTGCCCGACTTGCCTTAATTCAGCTTAATTTTAGGTAGTATTTTTAAACATCAACGCAGTATATAAAATTCGTGATGCTCAGATAAATTTTCTTATACTGATTTACATTCGACATGTTGGAAATACGATCATTGCTTTATAAGCTAAGATCGCATGCTTTTCCTGGAAGGACAACATATGCCCTCAGTGCAGACTTATTATAGTTATGAAAATAAGTAATGAACGCATTAAGATGTATGAGAGGTATCTCTGAGAGGAAGACTCCGCTTCCGGTCCCAAAATACAGTGACAGATACCCCGTGTAGGAAGGTTACTAATTAGTTATAGCCATCTATATTCTAACTTATACATAGCGTTTCATCTTTGCCTTCGTATGCGTCATGAACCCACGTCGCCTTTGTGATGATGTCTTCCACCGCGCGAGCAACTGTCAGCGGCCGGGGTTGCTACATAGACACCTACAACGGATATGACTAAGTTTATCAAAGGAAATATACATACAACTAATGCCTTGAGAGTGTCACAGAGCGTCTTCAGTAGTGACTATGAAAGCATAACGTGACAAACTCTTCTCATTCTCTCTCTCGCTCTTGCGGTGTCTGCCCTCGCACGAGGTAAAAAAAAAAAAACTATCGGCTGTGTTCGTACTGAGTACAGCCAAGTGACGGAATTCGTGTGATGTACTCTAGGATGTGCTTTTGAGGTATGTTACCCTGTATAAACCGTCCTGAAGAAGGTGCTGCAGTTCTGACTTAACCAAGGGTACTAGAACAGACACAGAGCCACCATGAAGCACATATTGTGTCTTCTCTGTTTCGCTGGACTCCTGCCTTCATGCCTGGCACAGCTTACTGACGCAGACGCTGAAGGTAAGACCTAGAGTTTTTTTTTTTTTTTTGCCAAACATTAACTGTTTCAATAGTAAAAAAAAATTGAAGATTTATAAACAACTGTTTCTCAGAGATCATTGAACTACGAGTGTTGCAGAGGGGAAGTAAAAATCATAAATTTCTTAGTGATGTTAGGCAACCAGAGAAAAAAAAGCCTCACATTCAGTTGTATTTTTTTTTGTATGTCTTAATGTTGGAATTATCACAGCTCATACTAGTAAGCTGAGTTATGAGGATTATTTAACAACGAAGATTGCGGAAGGAAATTCCTGACAAATATTTTATAGTGGCAGGAATTTCCATCCGCAATCTTTGGTAGTAAATATGTTTCCAGGAACAGAGTAAGCAGTTCTCAAGAAGTAGCAATAACCTCTCTCCCCCCAGTAACAACAGTTACATTAGTGGAAGTGCTCAGACATCACAGTTCAAATAACCCTCGGAACTCTAACATCCACGCCCATCCCCCACTGCGCTTTCCACTTCCAGGGCACAAGTTTAGTTAGCTAGTCTCCCTAAATCCCTTCATGTTACCTTCCTCGAACGCCAATGTCAGGTCAAGGAACAGAAGCCACTGTCTCCATTCACTCCTAACTCACTCAAATAAGTATGCTGGATGCTAAAGCTCCTACTACTTAAAACCTCCTCCCTCCTCCCATAAACCGTTCCTGAGACGACCCGTTTGAGGAGAATAATAATAATTTTCCACGTCCTAAATTCTATAAGGAAAATTGTATGTCTCTCTATTAGCAGAAGGAGGCTCTTGTTTCCACTACTCAGTGTAGTGAGTAATCCATTCGTGAGTAATCCAGACGTTTAGGTACTGTCAAGGGTCCCATGGTCGCTCTGCGTTAGATAGGTTTGCAGCTTGTGTCCCTCCTTCCCCGAGTCTAAGACTCAGTTTACAGTGTTTTTATCAGTTTCCCAGTTTGGATACCCTTCATTTCCCAATCTGGAAATAGATCTGGACCAACTAATAGATCTGGCTACTAATAGATCTGGACCAACTGTGCAATTGGTCCAGATCTATTAGTAGCCCTCGGTACGACCTCCAGGTAGGTAGCTTTTCCTTGTCCTCATTACTTTTCATTCTCATTAGTTTTACATCATCTGCAAACGGAGATACAGTTGACATTAGCTAACAGAAGTGTTGTAAACCAGAGACACTACTAGTTATAATTCTGATCCTTGCAGAACCCCATATTATAAACATTCTCACCCTGTCTTTCTCATCTCGGATAATAACTTTTTATCACTTTCCCATAACGTAGTTTTTGATTCACTCTAGTACATTCCCTGCCTGCTCCTGGCATTTTTTCCCAGTTTCTTGTAAGGAACAATATCAGCTGATTTCAGCAAAAAATGTCCAATCTTCCCATTCGTATCTCCTCTTCCCCACTACCTCACATAGTATACAACATGTCATTGATACTAGTTTATATTTCAGTGCTTTCTCTCTGTCTTATTTTTTAATATTGAAATTACATTCGATGTTTGTTTGACAACTCTCACGAATCCAATGGCTACTTGTGGAATTTAGCTAGAGTTTAAGACAGTGCTTCCGCTCCTACTCTCTCTCAGAATTCATGGTGACACCATAGTATAAAACTTTGCAATGGATACAGACAGGTTGAGGCACTTTGTCGGGGCCTATTACTTTTAATGGATCCAGCTCACTTAAACGTTGTTTAATTTCTTTTCTGGATGGATTAGTCATCAGATGTTAAAAGCACTTGTTGATAGACACTCCGCCTCCTTTAACCCCTTTTTTTAACTGTTGTGTACTCAACTTATTGTGATTGCAGGGGTCGAGTCTCTGCTCCTGGCCCAGTGTCTTCACTGGCTGCGTGGGCCCTCTCATACCTATTTTGTAAAACTATGAATGGATTCTGCCTCTACCACTTGGCTGTCTAGGTCGTTCCACTTCCTGACCACTCTAAGACTAGAGAAATATTTCATAACATCCCTATGACTCACTCATTTGGGTTTTAACGTCCAGCTGTGACTTTGTGCACATGAGACCCGCCTATCAAACAAACTCTCCCTGTATACCTTTTAAATCCTCTAAGTATTTAGTACGTAGTAATCATGTCATCCGTGGTCCTTCTCGCCTTTAGTGTCGCCAAGTTTAGCTCCTCTAGTCTCTCCTCACAGCTAATAGCTCTCAGCTCTGGAACTAATCTCATTACATACCTTTGATTTTTCCATCTTCTTTACATGCTTTATCAGATGCGGGTTCCACACTACCCCTGATACTCCAAGACGAGTCTGACATATGTAGTGTACAATGTCGTAATTTTCTTCTTTCTTTTTCAGGTGAAAGTGTGTGTGTGTGTGTGTGTGTGTGTGTGTGTGTGTGTGTGTGTGTGTGTGTGTGTGTGTGTGTGTGCGTGTGCGTGTGTGTGCGCGTGTGTGTGCGTGTGTGTACTCACCTAATTGTGGTTGCAGGGGTCGAGACTCAGTTCCTCGCCCCGCCTCATCATTGTTCGCTACTAGGTCCTCTCTCTCTCTGTCATACCTCGTCATACCTCGTCTTAAAGCTATGCATGGTTCCAACCTCCACTACGTCACTTGCTAGGCTATTCCACTTCCTGACGACTCTATGACTGAAGAAATACTTCGTAACATCCCTGTGACTCGTCTGAGTCTTCAGCTTCCAATTGTGACCCCTTGTTTCTGTGTCCCCTCTCTGGAACATCCTATCTCTGTGCACCTTATCTATTCCACGCAGTATCTTGTACGTCGTTATTATGTCTCCCTTAACCCTTGTGTCCTCCAGTGTCGTCAGTTTCCCTTAACCTGTCTTCGTAGGACATTCCCCTGAGCTCTGGAACTAGCCTTGTTGCAAACCTTTGTACTTTCGCTAACTTTCTGACGTGCTTGACCGGATGTAGGCTCTAAACTGGTGCTGCATACTCCAGTATGGGCCTGACGTACACAGTGTACAGTGTCTTGAACGATTCCTTATTAAGGTATCGGAACGCTATTCTCAGGTTTGCCAGGCGCCCATATGCTGCAGCAGTTATCTGGTTGATGTGTGCCTCCGGAAACGTGCTCGGTGTTATGGTCACCCCAAGATCTTTCTCCTTGAGTGAGGTTTATAGTCTTTGTCCACCTAGCCTATTCTCTGTCTGCGGTCTTTTTTGCCCTTCCCTAATCTTCATGACTTTGCATTTGGCAGGGATGAATTCGAGAAGCTAGTTTCTGGACCACGTGTCCAGTCTGTCCAGGTCTCTTTGTAGTCCTTCCTGATCCTCATCCGATTTAATTCTTCTCATCAACTTCATATCATCTGCGAACAGGGACACTACAGAGTCTATCCCATCCATCATGTCATTCACATATATCAAAAATAGCACTGGCCCTAGAACTGACCCTTGTCACAGGCGCCCACTGTGATACCTCTTCACGTATGTGTGTGTGTGTGTGTGTGTTTGTGTGTGTGTACTCACCTAATTGTACTCTCCTAATTGTGGTTGCTGGGGTCGAAACTCAGCTCCTGGCCCCGCCTCTTCACTGATCGCTACTAGGTCCTCTCTCTCTGCTTCCTGAGCTTTGTCATACCTCGTCTTAAAGCTATGTATGGTTCCTGCCTCCACTACATCACTTGCTAGGCTATTCCACTTCCTGACGACTCTATGACTGAAGAAATACTTCGTAACATCCCTGTGACTCGTCTGAGTCTTCAGCTTCCAATTGTGACCCCTTGTTTCTGTGTCCCCTCTCTGGAACATCCTATCTCTGTGCACCTTATCTATTCCACGCAGTATCTTGTACATCGTTATTATGTCTCCCTTAACCCTTGTGTCCTCCAGTGTCGTCAGTTTCCCTTAACCTGTCTTCGTAGGACATTCCCCTGAGCTCTGGAATCAGCCTTGTTGCAAACCTTTGTACTTTCGCTAACTTTTTGACGTGCTTGACCGGATGTAGGTTCCAAACTGGTGCTGCATACTCCAGTATGGGCCTGACGTACACAGTGTACAGTGTCTTGAACGATTCCTTATTAAGGTATCGGAACGCTATTCTCAGGTTTGCCAGGCGCCCATATGCTGCAGCAGTTATCTGGTTGATGTGTGCCTCCGGAAACGTGCTCGGTGTTATGGTCACACCAAGATCTTTCTCCTTGAGTGAGGTTTATAGTCTTTGTCCACCTAGCCTATTCTCTGTCTGCGGTCTTTTTTGCCCTTCCCTAATCTTCATGACTTTGCATTTGGCAGGGATGAATTCGAGAAGCTAGTTTCTGGACCACGTGTCCAGTCTGTCCAGGTCTCTTTGTAGTCCTTCCTGATCCTCATCCGATTTAATTCTTCTCATCAACTTCATATCATCTGCGAACAGGGACACTTCAGAGTCTATCCCTTCCATCATGTCATTCACATATATCAAAAATAGCACTGGCCCTAGAACTGACCCTTGTCACAGGCGCCCACTGTGATACCTCTTCACGTATGTGTGTGTGTGTGTGTGTGTTTGTGTGTGTGTACTCACCTAATTGTACTCTCCTAATTGTGGTTGCTGGGGTCGAAACTCAGCTCCTGGCCCCGCCTCTTCACTGATCGCTACTAGGTCCTCTCTCTCTGCTTCCTGAGCTTTGTCATACCTCGTCTTAAAGCTATGTATGGTTCCTGCCTCCACTACATCACTTGCTAGGCTATTCCACTTCCTGACGACTCTATGACTGAAGAAATACTTCGTAACATCCCTGTGACTCGTCTGAGTCTTCAGCTTCCAATTGTGACCCCTTGTTTCTGTGTCCCCTCTCTGGAACATCCTGTCTCTGTCCACCTTATCTATTCCACGCAGTGTTTTGTATGTCGTTATCATGTCTCCCCTGTCCCTCCTGTCCTCCTGTGTCGTCAGTCCGATTTCCTTCAACCTTTCTTCGTAGGACATTACCCTGAGCTCTGGAACTAGCCTTATTGCAAACCTTTGTACTTTCGCTAACTTTTTGACGTGCTTGACCAGGTGTGGGTTCCAAACTGGTGCTGCATACTCCAGTATGGGCCCGACGTACACAGTGTACAGTGTCTTGAACGATTCCTTACTAAGGTATTGGAACGCTATTCTCAGGTTTCCAGGCGCCCGTATGCTGCAACAGTTATCTGGTTGATGTGTGCCTCCGGAGTGAGGTTTGCAGTCTTGTCCACTTAGCCTTTACTCTGTCTGCGGTCTTCTTTGTTTTTCGCCAATCTTCATGATTTTGCATTTGGAAAGGTTGAATTAGAGAAGCCATTTGCTGGACCACGTGTCCAGCCTGTTCAGGTCTCTTTGTAGTCCTGTCTGATCCTCATCTGATTTAATTCTTCTCATTAACTTCACATCATCTGCTAACAGGGACACTTCTAAGTCTATCCCTTCCATCATGTCATTCACATATATCAAAAATAGCACTGGTCCTAGGACTGACCCCTGTGGGACCCCGCTCATCACAGGCGCCCACACACACACACACACACACACACAGACCAGGAGCTAGGACTCGACCCCTGCAACCACAAATAGGTGAGTACACTCTCACACACGCAGGTGTGTGTTACCGTTTCGTCCTAGACACATGTCGATTAGGCACTAGGCCTGTTGTATATGCGTGCTTGTATGTATATATATGTGTGTGTGTGTGTGTGTGTGTGTACTCACCTATTTGTAGTTGCAAGGGTCGATTCATAGCTCCAGGCCTCGCCTCTACACTGATTTCTACTAGGTCCTGTCTTTCCCTGCTCCATGAGCTTTATCAAATCTGTGTGTTTGCGCACGCGTGCGTGTGTGTGTGTGTGTATGTGTGTGTGTGTGTGTGTGTATGTGTGTGGGTGTGTGGTGTTTTTGATGTTTGTGTGTTTTGTGTGTGTGTGTATGTGTGTGTGTGTGTGTGTGTGTGTGTGTGTGTGTGTGTGTGTGTGTGTGTGTGTGTGTGTGTGTGTGTGCGTGCGTGCGTGCGTGCGTGTGCGTATGATATGATATATTAGAAACAGCTGGTTGGGAAGGCCAGAGAGGGACGAAATGTTAGGAGAGACGAAAGGCAAAATGAAGGGAGGCTACTGAATCGGGAGGGAGAGAGGAGAGGAGTGAGAGAAAATATTATCAGCTTCAGCTGGAACGGAGGAGACAGGATACCAGCTGGGCTTACCTCCCCCCCTCCCTCCCTCCCTCCCTCAACTCTGTCCACTAGTCTCAGTACTGTATCCGTTATATCTCTTATTACCTCTACTCTCCCCCCTTCTAACTCTGATACCACCACAACAACCACCAACACTTCCACTATACCTACCACCACTGCCACTTTAACTATTACCACACCACTATAGCTATTACCACAACTTTTGGGAGGGTTCGTGGAGATATGATGGTTGGAGTTAAACACACTTGTTGGATGGTAACACTTATATTAGCAAAGTGTGAGAGGGGAGCCCAGACTGCCTGTGTTGCCTGTTCGTAGACCTAAGTGCGGAGTTACGAGAAGGCCGGGGAGCGCAGCGCTCACATGCAGCATCACGTGACGTCACACAAGCTAGTCACTGAGCCTAGCAAGGGGTAAACTATGTAAAACATATGGATGGTACTATGTTAGATAACATATACATATACAGGGGATCAGCAACTATGCTGACACAACAACCAGAATAGAAGAGACTAACTCCAAAACCATCATTATCAGTGTCACTGAAACCACTGCCAACTACCATCTACAACAATTACTACCACAGAAACAACCATCACCATCACCACCAGACGCATCATCACCACATCAACATCATCGATTACAGAAACGTCATCACACAGTCCACTCATTAAACAGTCCAGGGACTGATTACCTCAACTCCTCTTCCTCCACAGTTTATTTTATTATTGGACTGAAGAAGCCATTGACTGGCGAAAAGTTTTCTCAGTAAAGATTCCCAAATGCTGCACAAGAATCCCATTCTTCAACTTGTCGGTTTTCTAAAACATTTTCATCACAACTAAACTATCTATCATGGTGCCCAGCTGACTCTTATTCTGTCAAATGATGCAGATGTTGTAGTTATCTTGCTGAGATAGGCATCCATTCCAAAAGCCAAAGGGTTAGATTAGTTTTCAGTTCGATTTGGTACTGACAACAAATGTCTCATTATTCCATTATAATCTGTAACAAAAAAAAAGTGGAAGAAAAGAAGGAATTTGAGGTACATAGTTCCTCAGCCTAGAGTTGATGTGTTCAGTCAGTCAGTCTTGATGGACTGACCACATCAAACACTCCTCCTCTTCTTCCACTTTCTTTTTTGTATTGGACTGAAGAAGTCACTCTGATGAAATGTTTTCTCAATAAAGGTTCCCAAATGTTGCACAATTTCTTCATCATAGGTCAGTTGACAGGGGCACAGTGCTGGTCAGCTTCCTCAACTGTGAAAATTTAGACACCTGTGCAACATCTGGGTATCTTTATTGCAGACGTTCCGCCATCCAGTGGCTTTATCAATAGAGATTCTAGGACATAATTTGAAGACAGTAGAACTATATACAAAAGTTGAAGTAATCAGTCCCTCAGCCTTGGAGTTGATGTGAAGACCACCGTAGTCGTGAGGATTCTGGAGAACAGGCAAGGAGGCTGGCGCTTATGTACTAATCGTCAGGTGGAAAGGGACGGGTAACAGATGAGAGCATAGTCACTGGTAGGCGGGACTCCCCAGTGGAAGTAAGTCACACCCAAAGGGATGGATAAGTTGTAGTAGTAGTTGTAATAGCCGTGAAGAAGGTCATGTAGATGTCCTTTGAACCAAGATTCCATGATGTTGCAGTGTTTGACAAGTTGTAAAAGAATGGTAAATAATACCTACATGATGAAAATTTAAACACATGTGGAACATCTGTATCGATAAAGCCACTGGATGGCGAAACGTCTACAATAAGATACCCAGATGTTGCACATGTGTCTAAATTTCCATAGTGGAAGGGTGGGTGCATTAACCCTGACAGCAAATTAAGAACCACTATCAAATACATGTTCAAAAGCACTTAAAAATGTAGAATAGTACGTGTAACGAAGGAAAGTCTAAACATGTCACTCTGTCGAATTTCTTTCTAGACTGTATTGTGTATGAAGGAAAGAGCAGCAGTGAACCACCCGTCAAGGAGTTACAACAACAGGTGTTGACAGCAGTAACACCACAGAGCCAAATGTTCTCTGCTACCCTGAGTCTCAGCTCTGCCAACAGCAGCCACATCTGTACAATCCATTTTATATCGCCGTTTGTACTAACGTCCTGCACCGACGGAGACACAACAAAGAATTCCCCGAAACACAAGTGGCCAGTGGAGGTCTTCCGCCAGGATGACACGACTGAGCTCTGGTTACAGATAACTGATTCAGAAGATGCGATCCCCTCCTCTGACTTGGTGTTGGTTGGTCGAAGAGGAAAGCACCGAGGTCATCTGGTGTTCCCCAACAGCGGATTGACGCCTCCAGTCCGCATGCAGTGGAAGCCGATACAAGAGATGGAATATTACTTCAACTGCATAACGGGTGAGACTCCGTTTTATAAAGAGCATTTATGAATACAGCACTTTTGCAAAGGTATCACACATACTGGATATATAATTTCAAGCGAGAACTGTAGTGTATCTTGGGTCTGCGCAATACTGCAGAAAGTAACCTGGAGTGTTACCTAGAAATACCGCCATATTTCTGGACAGTGTTTGTTCTGTCCATGTATACCTATAGTGTTAATAATGTCCTTGTAATATGGCTTGTGCTAAAGACCTGGGAGCATTTCAGTATTGCTACTTCTACCGTTTGGATTTTTCCATAGACCCATGATTTATCACAACCCAGCATTTCACTTACCTCACCTCTCCTACATGTCATGTAGGAGATGCGTGCAACTTTCATCTTCAGTATAATTTGATTTGATTGAAACATTGTCTTAAAATCACTTTCTGTAGTGTCTTTCTTGCAGTACTGTGAGCAGTACACCATTTAGATCCAACTTCATACTTCTCAGTAATTCACTATTGCTTCTAGAACTATCCTTGCTGAATAAGTCCACAAGCACAATAGAGTGAAATTTCCATATACATTTAAAATTATGTAGAAATTTATCAAACTGCAGAGTTATGTATGAACGCGAATGAATATTTAATTTGAATGTCTGTTTTTTGAAGTTTGGCTAACGCCAGCACTGGGAAAACTATATAATTTGTAGGATTGTTTCTTGCGAATAACTCTACTACCTTAATGAAATTTTAAATATCGTCTATTAGTTCGCCACTGTAAATTATTAGTAAAAAAATATCACTAAATTATTTCTATTCTAAAAAGAGCTGCTGAAATTAATGATTTTTTCCTTTTAAATGCATTTAGAATTCTGAATGGAATCGAATACATCACTCTAATCTTGATTACATTGTTTGCTTTGGAAGTTGAATATATGTATTCACAAGCCTCAAGGGAGATATTATTAATATATTCACTGGGAATAACTAAAAATCAGTAAGAATATGAGCAAGTAGCACCAATTTCAAGAATCAAGAGCCCTTCAAAATCTTCAAGGCACCTTTCACTTATTTATTTTGAGAAGGACCAAGAAAGATAATAAAAATTCCCTTCCAAACCTTATTACTATTGTAGTTTTATTCTAAAGAGTTCTTCAGTATAAAATGATTTCTTATTCACTGTAGGATGTGTCCTGAGCAAGGCAGCAGAGACCCAGGTTGGGGAGCACACAGTCTTCCTGCGTCAGGGTGAAGGAGACTTGCACCTCACACTCTCTTATGAATCAGGTGCACGAGGTCAATACGTAACCAACCTGACCTTGGCTGACCTAGGCCCCCCAGGAGGCCTCAAGACCATTACACTTGTCTGGAATGATCGAGTCGGTGACACTGGGGTGAGCTCATTTAAGTTAGTTCCTTTATAAGAAAAATAAAAAAAAACGTGCTAACATCGTGACCGAAACAGTTCTCCAATAACTCAAACTTGTAAAAAGAAACTTTTGACGAGGTTTATGTCTCTCCTGGATCATTATCAATTTATTATTATATTCATGGGGTAGCGCTGAACTGGGCCATTTAGAGGGAAAGGAAGTGGGGGGAAGGGAGTTGAGGCTGTACATTGGTCCGGGGCCCGGTTGTGAATCTCTGCGGGGCCCTATATCAATAGACGTTTTATTCTGATTTTTTTCATTTGATTTTTTTTTTTTTGGTAATTTAAACTATTTTTAGTTTATTTAGGAAAAAAAATATGTAAAAATCACTTAGACTTCTGAATTCTGGGGCCCCAAAGCAGTCTTGTTCCGCCTAGAAAATTTCTCTTGGAGGCCCTGGCGCTGAACACGACCCAGGTGCAGTGGTCACCTCTGACGAGCACCTCTGAAGAAACTAGACTCACGTTCCACTCCTGGTGGAGTATTTTTTTTTCCATAGCAGTTGGGAAATGGAAGGTCATCAGGTTTGACTCAGGAACTGGAAGGATAACTCTAATTCCTTGGATCGGAAGCCCTTTACCGGACTTATCCTTTTCGGACTGGGAAATGGTAGGGAGGGAATGATGAAGTTGTGCATATTTTATGTAAGGATCACTGTAATTTGTCCCTATCTTATGCCCCTCTCTCCCAGCCACCAGGAATGTAAATAAAGAAGTAAATAAAAATTATGTAAATAGGTTGGGTAAATTAGCTTATTTTATATCAGAGGATCCGATTTGAGTATTGGTGAGAGTAGTGAAGAAAAAGCCATTTCTCCAATCTATGCAGACGAAGCTCTACAAAGAGCGAAACGCTGTTCTAATAAAAGCTAGTTCTGCATCGCTAGTCTTTTTCTCGTATTGCGTACTTTAGCAACGTTAGAGTAGGTTGCCAGGTTAGTGTTAATGCAAAATTTAAAGCTGATGTGTTAAAAAATCCAAACCGTTTATTAATTAATTTTCTAGGAACTGTATGATTTTAAAGAATTAAAGGCCACAGTGCCCTGACTGGAACAATTTACCGAAAACCCGCTAATTCTACCACAACTACTACTTTCATTACTTCTACGACAACTACTACTAATCGTAACCTATCCCCGCCCCTTACCGTATTGTCTTCTGGCCTTCTGTACTTCTCTCGCCCCAGTTATAACCTGCCAGTGTTCCAGGTCGAACCGAAACGTCGTTATAACGTTCCCCTCCCAAGTGCTCGTTTTTTTGAGGATTGTATGACCTTCGCTGGTTCAGCAGCTTTCCCATGAATACGAGGACAGTAACTTCCGATAAGTATACATTTCCGATAAGTATGCTTTCATTATTCATTACCGATAAGTATACTTTCTTTATTCAGTACCGATAAGTTGGTGAATAAGGCACATGTTCAACACTTAAGTATCTTTATAACCCAAAACACCCAGGTGGTGCACATGTGTCTTATTCGATAATAACGTTCTTGGATGAGAGATGAGCGGGGACGGGAGGGCATTCTTTAGGTAATTTCATTGTGGTTACATCACTCTAAACAATTATCATTCATTATCTTGCCCGTTTCTCGAAGAACTTGCAGGAGTAAGAGGAGAGACTCAAGCGATGTGGTTCACCCTTCATGTTATGGAGGGTCTTTATGCAAGGAATTGGTGTTACCCTTCCTTTCCTTGAGGTCAAACCTGGTTACTTCCCATTACTCATCCGAGCCTAGCGCTTCCTTCTGTGTGTAACATTAGTAATAACAATAATAATAATAATAATAATAACAATAATAATAATTCCCTCAAGTACTGGGGATGTATCTCTCTTTAGTGACGCTCTCACACCCATCGCTAACCTCTCTCTCTGCAGGTGTTGCTGGATGGTGTCCCTCTAGGGGGTCTCACCAAGTACTCATCCCTCAACGTGAACAGCGGTGTGAAAGTGGAGGTGATGGAGGGAGAGGCTCTGGTGGCCGCTTGCAACCATCACTTCCACGACGTGACAGTGCTTCCTCCTGCACGACGTAGGTATCGACGCCACGAAGCTTGCTTCATGTATAGTGCGATCGTGAAGGGAAATCTTTCTCATCCTCTGTTTACCATTAATTTAGCCTCGTTCGTCTTTCACTGCGGATGTTTTGCCGTTTTGTAACACTTGTTTCTCATTAGCTCAGATCGAAGCCTTATCCTAACATAATTGCTTTAATGGAAAGTTAATTAAATATATCATCTTTATCCGATACCGAACAACACGTGTCGAGCATGAAAAGTGAAGCTGGAACCATCTATTGAGTCAAAAGATGGTATAGATGGGAAAGCAAGTTCCAAATATTTGTCAGTCAATGAATAAATAATTGCTGCGTTCCCTTGCAACTTCTTCACACTTCATCAACAAGTGCATCACAACTCTCCTCTGCACCGCAACATTCAGTTACTTAATAAATGCAAGTAATGACACATTAAACAGCGATACTGACATAATTATAGGTATATCCTGACATATTTTACTAGAGTCGCCTGTGAATATATTTGTTGAAACCAAAGTCGGCAGCTGTTCAAATCATTAATATATTCTGGATGGGCTATATTTAAGTTGGAATATCGATGCTAAATGATTCATTGAGATGCCGCATTCAATTAGGTACCACCAGAGTTTACATCTTAATTCATCTAGAATTCACAGAATCATTCAGCTGCACTTCACAGAATCCTTCAACTCTGTCTCACAGCGTAATTCATTATTTTCCAGCACTATTTATCTTCATTTTGCAGCACTGCTCTTTGCTTCACAGCAACGCTAGCTAATTCTAATTAACTAATTTATGGGTAGTTTTTATTTTCAGTTTGTATATTAGTTGCTCTCTGTGCCTCACTGCGTGTACTAATAATGGGTATTTTGCAGGTTCCCCGAGGTCCACGGAGACTGGCATCCCAGTGTGGATCCTGGTGCTGTTGGCCGTTGTGCTTCTTACAGGTCTGGCTACAACCGCCCTCTTCGCTGTCCTCCACTACTCCGCCACAATGAAACTCCAGCAGCTGCAGGGGACAACCTTTTCCTCCATCCCGAGGACCTCCTCCCTACGGTCTAGCAAACGACACAAGGATCTTCCCGGCGGGACTCCTAAAGAGGCCGAGGAAGACTGCAAGAGTGCCTCTGAGGTGACCATGGCCCACTCGGAGACAACAGTGACTCCACTGACCACTCCAGCCTCGCTTAATAATGGTCCTAGGTCAAATAAGCTCGTCGAAACCAGAGATTTTGTTGATTTAGAGCTCATGTGATAAGGGTCCTCTGGGTGGCGTACTTATGTCTGTGCCATTTCGCTCAGGATAAACTGACCTCTAAAGGTGTAGCGACTTTTTTCACATTTCACATAATTTAATTTTATTATAAATAAAAATTTTATAAATTTTTTAAATTCCTGTTATGCACAAAATGATTTTAACCAGTTAAAGCTATAAAAAGCGATACTATTTTTCAATCATTAGGATTTGTACAAATTCAACATTTTTAAACACACGGATTCCTCAAGAGAGACTTCTTGACGCCGGCGAGGGATCATGATTCAAGATGTTGGGGCTGTTTTCCCCTTCCTTGGAACGAACCTGATGGCGCTATTTGACCCATTATGGGGTTATCGCTTTTCCTAAATATAATAATTATAACTGAATTTATATATCCTATTACAAAATTAATAGTATATCATGCTAGCATTTTTTAATAACTAGCGTAAAAGTATATTAATATAAAAACAATTTCACATCAATTAAATAACGATTTTAATAGATAAATATTCCGTTCTCATCGTCTGAGTTTCCCACTGGGAGATAGCCACTGGCCCAGCGGTAGCGCCTCCGTCTGGAGTTTTGTGACTCTGATCGCGGGTTCTATTCCCGCTCGTGGTATGGTTTGTCTACAATCGCGTCATTACGCTTTCGTGAGTCATACTGAGAGAAAATGTTATTATATATATATATATATATATATATATATATATATATATATATATATATATATATATATATATATATATATATATATATATATATATAATTTCATGTATGCGCGTGTTTATGGATAATTTTTTGTTGTTGCCGAGACAGGGCTTAGAGTTATATTTTAAATTTAATATGTAGCAAAACGACATTTTCTTACACTAATTTTTTTCTTTGAAATTTTCTCCCCTTATTTAATGTGGCTCATTTTACTCTGTAAAAGTTTATTTCTCATGAAAATTCTCTATTGTGTTTGTGAATGTGTTTTGTGTCAAAGAGAATAACATAAGAAAAAAATTTGAGAGAAAATTATTTGTGTTTGATATTAGCCTGTAAACGACTGTGGTAGCATCAGCTGGCGACGCTGTCAGCTGACTTGGTAAACAAGAGTCACGTGACTGGGACCATCAGCTGTGGTTTAGTGTTAATAAAACTTTAATGAAATGTGCCGCTTGGGGGGAGGAGGGAAGTTGTGTCTCTATTGTTTGTGATAATGTAGGTGAAGCTAATTACTCTGTATGTGGATGACTGACAGGTGACACGGTTGGGGGACAGGTGACATAGTGGCTGACTGTCAGGTTAAACGTTGGGTGTGACACAGTGACTGACTGGGTGTGACACAGTGGCTGACAGTCAGGTGACGCATTGGGTGTGACACAATGGCTGACTGTCAGGTTAAACGTTGGGTGTGACACAGTGACTGACTGGGTGTGACACGTGTGGCTGACTGTCAGGTGACACGTTGGGTGTGACACAGTGGCTGACTGTCAGGTTAAACGTTGGGTGTGACACAGTGACTGACTGGGTGTGACACATGTGGCTGTCAGGTTAAACGTTGGGTGTGACACAGTGGCTGACTGTCAGGTGACACGTTGGGTGTGACGCAGTGACTGACTGGGTGTGACACATGTGGCTGACTGTCAGGTGACACGTTGGGTGTGACACAGTGGCTGACTGTCAGGTTAAACGTTGGGTGTGACACAGTGACTGACTGGGTGTGACACATGTGGCTGACTGTCAGGTGACACGTTGGGTGTGACACAGTGACTGACTGGGTGTGACACATGTGGCTGACTGTCAGGTGACACGTTGGGTGTGGCACAGTGACTGACTGGGTGTGACACATGTGGCTGACTGTCAGGTGACACGTTGGGTGTGACACAGTGGCTGACTGTCAGGTGACGCATTGGGTGTGACACAATGGCTGACTGTCAGATGACACGTTGGGTGTGACACAGTGGCTGACTGTCAGGTGCCGCATTGGGTGTGACACAATGGCTGACTGTCAGATGACACGTTGGGTGTGACACAGTGGCCGACTGTTAGATAATAAAGTGACTGAAAGGTGAATGGCATGTGCTGACAGATGACATGTAAGACAGGTGACAATGTATTTGACTGAGAGGTGATACGATATGGGACAAGTGATAAAAAGTTTGACTGACAGTGTAGGAGCTGTAGACGTGTAAGACTGGGTTGTAGAAGTGTTAGAAAATGTAGAGATGCAAAGAGGAGCTGTAATTCCTAGATGGTTAATGTAATTCCTAAGATGGCTAATGTAATTCCTATTTTTAAAACAGGGGACAAGTCGTTACCGTCAAATTACCGCCCAATAAGCCTGACCTCAATTGTAGGCAAATTACTAGAGTCAATTATAGCTGAGATTATAAGAAGCCATCTCGATAAGCATAGCTTGATTAATGATACTCAGCATGGATTCACAAGAGGCCGGTCTTGTCTAACTAATTTATTAACTTTCTTCAGTAAAGCTTTTGAGGCTGTTGACCACGATAAAGAATTTGATATTATTTACTTAGATTTTAGTAAGGCTTTTGATTGAGTTCCGCACCATAGACTGTTAAAGAAAGTGGCAGCTCATGGCATTGGGGGAAAAGTGCTCTCGTGGATCGAGTCATGGCTCACTGACAGGAAGCAGAGAGTGTCCATAAATGGGGTTAAATCCGAGTGGGGATCTGTAACAAGTGGCGTTCCACAGGGATCAGTCTTGGGTCCGTTGTTGTTTATAATATATATCAATGATCTTGATGAGGGAATTACTAGTGATATGAGCAAATTCGCCGATGACACAAAGATAGGTAGGATAATTGATTCAAACGTAGATGTTATGGAACTTCAGGAGGATTTAAACAAACTCTATTCTTGGTCAGAAAAGTGGCAGATGCAGTTCAATGTAGATAAATGCAAGGTTCTGAAGCTTGGGAGTGCCCATAACCCTAGTACTTATAAGTTAAATGATGTAGAACTTAGCCATACAGATTGCGAAAAGGACTTGGGGGTTATGGTGAGCAGCAACCTTAAACCAAGACAGCAATGCCTAAGCGTACGTAATAAGGCAAATAGATTACTGGGATTTATATCAAGAAGTGTAAGCAACAGAAGTCCAGAGGTCATACTGCAGCTTTATACATCATTAGTAAGGCCTCACGTAGATTATGCAGCTCAGTTCTGGTCTCCATATTACAGAATGGACATAAATTCGTTAGAAAACATTCAGCGTAGGATGACTAAATTAATACATAGCATTAGAAATCTTCCTTATGAAGAAAGATTGAAGACTCTTAAGTTACATTCACTTGTTAGACGAAGAATGAGGGGAGACCTGATCGAAGTGTATAAGTGGAAGATAGGTATTAATAAAGGGGATATTAATAAGGTCTTGAGGATGTCTCTCCAAGAGAGAACCCGCAGTAATGGATTTAAATTAGATAAGTCTAGATTTAGAAAGGACATAGGAAAGTATTGGTTTGGAAATAGGGTAGTTGATGAGTGGAACAGTCTACCTAGTTGGGTTATTGAGGCTGGGACTTTGGGTAGTTTCAAATTTAGGTTGGATAAGTACATGAGTGGGAGGGGTTGGATTTGAGTGGGACTTTCACATCAGAGCTTATTTCTTGGGTGGCATTGAAAATTGGGTTGGGCAAATGTTTTGTTAGTGGGATGAATTGTAAAGGACCTGCCTAGTATGGGCTAACAGGCCTCCTACAGTGTTCCTCCTTTCTTATGCTTTTATGTTCTTATGTTCTATTAGAGATGTTGAGGTATCAGAGCTTTACAACGGTGTGGGAGCGAGTTGCAGAAGTATCAGAGCTGTCGAGGGGTGGAAGTTAATCGTAGTGGTCTGGGAGTAGTCAGAAAAATCAGAAGTTAGAGCTGAGCTGTCTCCAGCAGAGCAAGGCTGAATTTTTTTTAACAGCTAAATAGCTGGCCAGCAAGCTAAATTTCAGGGCCTAGAAAAACCACGTATCAAGCTCGGAAGACAGACCCAAAGGTTTTAGCTCAGTTCCCCCTCCCATTTTTAAATACCTATTAGCTACCAACTGTCTTCTTTTAATCCCTGGCCCTATTATTTTGGGAAAGCCCTAAACCCTCGGGGTTTATGAAGCTCTTAGATATTATCCACGGTTAGTGAGATTGGATCTAATTTCATGGATCAAGAGCCTTTCAGCAGCTTCAAGGCATCCCCTTCCCATTTGAAGGGTCCCTAGACCATCCCCAGAGTCACCTGGTACCCCTTGTGTCCCTTCACTGTGTCGAACTTGATACCATTCTTTCCCTCACTCCTCCCGTCAGACCCTGTCTCCCCTCACTCCCCGTTTACCCCTCATGTCCTGCCTTTACCCCTCACTTTCTAACCTCCTTTGTTCGTTCATCTTCACCATACATATTCTTGATTTATTAGTCTTTAACTTTAATTTATATTCTTTAAATAAACAAATAAATTTGCAACGCAAGTTATGCTTCTACTGTTTCTTCTACTGCTATTATTATTACTATTACAACGGCTACTACTATAATTACTTGTGCTATTATTGCTTCTATTATTGGTACTGTTACTATTACTACTACTACTACTACCTCTGCTACTACTAATACCACAACTAGTACTGTTCCTACGACAACTTCTACTGCTGCTACCACAACTATTACTACTGCTACTACTACTACTACTACTACTACTACTACTACTAATACTACACACACACACATATATATGTATATGTATATATATATATATATATATATATATATATATATATATATATATATATATATATATATATATATATATATATATATATATATATATATATAATATGTCGTGCCGAATATGTAAAACTGGTCAATTAGGAAGAACTCATTTAAAATTAAGTCCTTTCTAAAATTTTCTCTTATACGTTTAAAAATATATTTTTTTCATTAATGTTGATGTAAAAATTTATAATTTTGCACAAGAAGGAACTTAGAAAACTTACCTAACCTTATTATAACAAGAACAATTTATTTTAGCCTAACCCAACTAAATATATTTTAGATTTGTTTACAATAATTTAATACTAAAGAAACACAGTGAAATACATTTTTTTTCGTTAGGTTCAGAATGATTTTGGCGAAATTATTGCATACACAAATTTTCACTTGTCCTGTATGGCAAGATGAGCGTTGCTATTTAAGCCAAGATCGCAAGTTCTGCCTATTCGGCACGACATATATATATATATATAATATACATACATGTATATACATATATATATATATATATAAATATATATAATATATATATATATATATATATATATATATAATATATATATATATATTATATATATATATATGTATTATTGTACCCACGGAACAAGTGGTATTGATCAATAACAACACTGCACTAGTCAAGGAGTCGAACCCATGCTCTTTAGGCCCGCCTCATGGTGAGAGAAAACACATGACGCTTTAGGTCTAGTGGTCTAAAGCGTCTTGCGTTTTCTCTCACCATGAGACGGGCCAAAACAGGATGGGTTCGACTCCTTGGCTAGTGCAGTGTTCTTATTGGAGTGAATGGAGACGAATGGTTCTCGGGATCTGACTAGCTGTTGGAGTGTGAGTAGGGTAATATGCTGTGAAGGGATTCAGGGAAACCGGTTAGCCGGACTTGAGTCCTAGAAATCGGAATTACAGTGCCAGCACCTTAAAGGAGGGGTTTGGGATATTGCCAGTTTCGAGGAACGTTTGAACTGTCGTATCTGAGCGCTTCTGCAAAGACATTAATTATGTATGAGTGATGGTGAAAGTGTTGAATGATGATGAAAGTTTTCTTTTCTTTTTTTATGGGTCACCCTGCATCGGTGGGAAACGGCCGATGTCTTAATGTAATATATATATATATATAATATATATATATATATATATATATATATATAATATATATATATATATATATATATATATATATATGTAAATGTATATATATATGTATATATATATGTATATATATATATATATATATAT